TCTATGGGCACAGCTCGTGGTGCCCCAAGTAATTACAGTAACATCACAGGTCAGGGACCACAGATCGCCATGATAAATGTAATAGTAAAAAGTCTGAAATGTTGTGAGAATTACCAAAACGTGACACCGAGACACAAAGTCAGCAAATGCTGTTGGAAAAATGGTACCAGCAGACTTGCTTGGTGCAGAGTTGCCACAAACCTTCAATTTGTAAAAAAAAACCCAAAATCTGCCAAGTGCAATAAAGTAAAAGGTTGTTTGTACATTTTTTTCTGTTGTTAATTAACTGTCATAATGCTACTCTTGAATGGGATCTTCCTTAAATTCTTACTATAAGTACGGTTACTTAAAAAACAAACACATTATACTAATACTGACCCTGAGGAGTTGAGATCAATGGCAAGATTATGCTAAAGGTAAAAAAAACATAATACACAAAGATCTTGTAATTGGAAATAAGGCAATATGTGTATATATATACAAATATGAAAAAAAAAAAAAACCTTCACATGCTATTAGAATACCTTTACATAGGTCTGGTGTGATGTTCCTTGTTGGACTATAAAAGCTAAGAAGCACAGCCAGTCTCGTTGGTTTTTATCTCTGGTGCCAAGCTCGGTCCTGACACAGAGAGGGTACAAAGTACACGGGCTGATTTCAGGAAATCACTCAAAAAATCCTGACTGTGTACCTTTTATGTTCTAGGCACTGTTTTAGGTGCTGGGGATACAACAGTGAGCAAAACGGGCAGAAGTCTGCTCTCATGGAGTTTATACTTCACTGGGGAGAGAGAGACATTACAGAAGATAAAACACATGGTACGTTAAAGAAAACGTTAAGTCGGGACGGGAGATACGAAGTGCAGGGCTGGAGCTAAGAACGTAAATAGGATTGCCACCAAGAAGGCAACATTTGAGTGAGAGCCGAAGAACGTGAGAAGGGACCACCTGGATATTGGGGAGGAACGTTCCAGACACAGGGACGAGCAAGTGCACGGACGCTGCTAAGTCTGAGGACCAACGTGGAGGCCAGTGCAGCTGGAGGGGTGGGAGCGAGGCGGGGCCAAGGGAGGAGAGTCAGAGAGGTTCCACGAAGGTCTGTGAGGTTGGCCCTGTGGGGCCCGGCAGACCCTGGCTCCTACTCTGAGATGAAGTCCTGGGAGTCTTTGGGCTGAGGGTGGCACAACATGACTGCTGTTTAAAAAGACCCCGAGCTGCCAGGCACTGTACAGAGAAGAGACTGGGAGAGCAGGGAGGCACTGTTGGAACACTCCAGGCGAGGTATGGCGGGGGCCTGGACCGGTGTGGAAGCCATGGAGGCAGACGACAGTAACTAGGTTTTAGGTGTATTTTAAAGGTACAGTCAACAATCTGCTGCAACCCTGTCTTCACTCAGCTGTCAGGACTCGCTTGGCTTTCCCCTTCCTCTCTGGCTCTTCTGTGGTCTCCCCTGCTGGGTCCTCTTCACCCTCGATCTCTATACAAAGAAGTTCCCTGGCTCGGTCCTTTGGCCTCTCCTCTGCCTACGCTCATTCCCTTAGGAACCTCATCGGTCAGGACGTGTCTGGGAGAAGAGGACCCGGTCATCCAAGTCTCTGGGGGCTTCCTAAATTCTGACCGGTCACCTGACTCCGGCACCCCGTACCTGCTCCATGGCGTACGATGAGCTAAAGGCCCCACTGCCGCTGCTGCTGGAGCTGGTCGAGGAGTCCGCGGAGCTGCCGGATGGGGTCCCGCTGCCCGAAGTCTTCACCGTGAGGATCTGTTCATCAGAAAAGCCCAGCTGGTGGAGGAGCTTTTGATCTTTATTCACGGTCAGCTGCAAAAAGTGGTTTCTTAATTACTGGCAGGAAGAAGAAGGCATTGACAGCAGGCTGAAGGGCCACAGAGTGTGGGTTTAAACCTACCAGACTATCGTTCGTAAATATCTGTATGTTGTCCACAGGTGAGCACAACTGCTTGGCTATCTTCCATCGCACGCTCCCTATGGTTTCATTACTGTGAGCCTGTACGACAAAATTAAACGCTGTTGGGAGTCTTTTGTTTACTTGTCCGTTTAAACAACTGCTAGTGAGCACGGACTACGTACCAGGCACTGTTCCAGAAGCTGGGAACAGAGCAGAGGACCCACGGACAAAACTCCCCGCCCTGTAAGGCTTCCCTTCCGCCGTAATTCAATGTCCCGTCTTCCCACCCCCCATGCCTCGCCATCTCCTGTGAATCAAATCTCGAGTCCTTCTGCTGCTGCCGTCTCCACTCTTTCCCGTTCTCTCTACACTCCCCTCACACCAGCCACCTTGCTTGTCACTCAGTGAGCCACGCAAGTCCCTCGCCAGGGCCTCAGTACCTGCTGCTCCCTTTGCTTGGAATGCTCTTCCGCAGAAACTATTTGTTGTCACTTCGTTCCATCTTTGTTCAGATGTCACCACCTCGGAGAGAACTTCCCTGCCCATTTGATGACATTTCACACATATGCGCTGGCTCTCTACCAAATTATTCTGCTTTATTCTTATTCTTTAGAACACTCATCACCACCTGATGCTATATTATACACTTATTCATGTGCCTCTGTACACCCATCAGTTCCCTTTCGCTGCAGGCCTTTAGTCTATATTTGTTTGCTAAACAGCTTGCAGAATAGTTCCCCGTGGAGCTATCCCGCTCCACAGTGCTCTTGGGAAGGAAACAAGACAGTATGAAAATGGCTACAGGGCTAACGTAAACCTACCTCTACAGTGAAGGTATCTTTGGTAGACTCATACGTGACGTTGAGAGTTAAAAGATGTCCATGAAATGAGGCACCATGAGGTAGAATAGTTCGTGGAACAGAGTAAAAATCCTTGAAAAAGATAGAAGTCAAACAAGTCAGACGCACAGCGTCACTGTTAAGTCTCCAACGTACACACCTAACACGAGTCTAACGATAGGATGATAAAGTTGCTTTAAAAAGAAGAGAGGCTTACCTCTATAGTGATCACATAGCGTTCTGCCAAAAGCAGCAGTCTCTCGATTATTACAAGTTTGGTGGATCTATAGATTAAAAAACTTTTTTTGAGCATATTTGAAATGAACTGAAGGCTTGAACGTATTTGAAATAAGTCGCACGATTCCAGTCTGCTTCACCAAAACCACGCAGTTAGCCTCAGTGGCCGAAGGCTTAAATCTGCAAAGACTAAACTTCCCCGTCACCCAGGGCGGGAGGCGGCTCAGCCACCTCACAGCCGTTGTGCACTGATGGAGCAAGGGAGGACAGGCAGGCCCCCTCCATGTTTCCTTTTCTGTCGTTTCCTTTCTGTCTTTTTACACAGTTGTTCCATAAATGAGGACCTGGGACTCCAGGCCTATCTGTCCATCAATCCACCAAGAATGAACAACCAGTAGGTTTGAGTCTCATAATCTTACAACTAAAATATGCCACCTAATTCTGTAAACACATGGAATCTGACAAAGTTCTGAATTGGCTGAAAACCAGTAAGTGTACCACAAATAAGACTTGCTGTTCTAAATAGTTTAAGAATGAGGAGGAAGGAAGGACAAACAACTGTTTACCTGGTTTAAATGAACATTCTGTAGAGTTAAAACACACAAGTGTGGGGCGCCTGAGTGGCTCAGTCGATTAAGTGTCCAACTTCAGCTCAGGTCATGATCTCACGGTCTGTGGGTCTGAGCCCCGCTCTGGGCTCTGTGCTGACAGCTCAGAGCCTGGAGCCTGTTTCACATTCTGTTTCTCTCTCTCTGTGCCCCTCCCCTACTCACACTCTGTCTCTCTCTTTCTCTTTCAAAAATAATTTAACATTAAAAAGAATTTAAAAAACACACACAAGTGTTAAGAATTATTATCCTATAGGTTTTCAAAGTGCTTGAGAAATCAACACTCATCAGGAGACAACCATCTCTGGAACAGGAACATATAGCAAGGTTAAGTGCTAGCTTAACCCCTGAAAATGAGACCCGAGATCCCTTTTAGTCAGACTTAGGGAGTATTACTTATTATTTGAATTAACGAGACTCTAACGTCCAGCAGCTTATGTACTCACAGCTCCATATTTGATTCTAAAGACAACATTACATGTGTTAACATCAAGAGATGGAAATCCAAATGTCCTTAATTTAAACATGTGCTCTCCCAGAAAAGAAAGTCTAGGCATTTCAAACAGGCATCTTTCTAAATCTGAAAAGAGGTACTAACACTTTCTAACAATTGGTCTGGTTGGCTGATTAGCAGTACTGAAAATTCTACTTTAAAAAGAGTTTGTTAAATACGCTGTAATAGTACTGTTAAATATATTTAACAGAGTTCTAAATTCTTTCAGGCTATGGGCAAGAACTAGAATTTGATATTCAGGTGGGGAAGCTTTAGGAATATCTAAATGCTATAGTAAGAGAATTATTTTAAAAAAAAGTTTTTTTTTAACATTTACTTATTTTTGAGAAACAGAGTGAGACAAAGCGTGAGCAGGGGAGGGGCAGAGAGAGAAGGAGACACAGAATCTAAAGCAGGTCCAGGCTCTGAGCTGTCAGCACAGAGCCCGACGCGGGGCTCAAACTCATGAACCATGAGATCATGACCTGAGCTGAAGTCGGACGCTCAACCGACTGAGCCACCCAGGTGCCCCTATAATAAGTGAATTATTGAGTGAACTATCTTAATTGTGCCTCAATAATGAATTAAATTTCAGACAACATTGCAGACCACTGTAGAGATGAGAGAATAACTCTCCCCCGTCTGCCACCAAAGGTGGAACTATGGTCACTGAGAAGTTCTCTCAAAACCAGTGAAATAAGAAACTATAATGTCGTGGTTCAAATGCAACTTTGAAATTATACATTCCTATGAACAGTGTTTGGAGTTTATAATAAGAACAGTTAAGAACTATCCTGTGGCTGTGCTCTGTAGTCAGTCAAATATGAAATGAAATGATTCAGAATAAAAAACAGTAAAAAGAGAAAAAAAATAACGCACTTATTTAAAGATGTTGCAGTTTGGAAATCCCAATCCAATAGTTCAAAATTGGATTTCTATTCTGGTTTGTCACATAAACGAATCATTAAGGACCTAGGTCATAAAGATGAACCACATCTTACAAACATGTAACTAAAGACTCTTAATATGCATTTTTTAAAAGTTTATTTATTTTGAGAGAGTGCGTGAGTGAGCGAGCAGGGGAGTAGCAGAGAGAGAAGGAGAGAGAATCCCAAGCAGGCTCCGCACTGCCAGCACAGAGCCTGACGCAGGGCTCGAACCCACGAACCATGAGATCATGAACTGAGCTGAAACCAAGAGTTGAACACTTAACCGACTGAGCCACCCAGGTACCCCTACTCTTAACATGCATTCTTAATGAGAGTCTATTTAAGATACACTTCCAACAATGTGGGAACGCAAAGGTCATGAGTTGAATCTACAATCACTTGCCGCCATTTTAACTGGGTTTTTTGGGTAAGATTTTATCTTTAAGTAATCTCTATATATAACATGGGGCTTGAACTCATAACCCCGAGGTCAAGAGTTGCATGCTCTACTGAATGAGCCAGCAAGGCGCCCTGCTTTCTGGCATTTAAAAAAAAAAAGTCCAAGAGGGTTGAATTTTATTGGAGCCTCTCTAATATTAGTATCACTACACAGTACTCATTTAAAAAAAGATGACGAATGTGAGCAAGGCTATTGCTTTGATTCCTATTCTAAAGGGAGCCTTTAAAAACAAGAAGAACTGTAAATAAAGATAAATAACATGTACATACATAAAGTCATTCCGAGCAGAGAGAGACAATACGTGCACCCATCACTTAGAGGGCAGCAGAGCAGGCCTCGTTCTGAACACCTGCCAAGGTTTCCTGGGCATCAGTGATTGGGGGCTGCTTACTAAGAATAGAAGGCTCAGAAAACCTCACAGGAGCATCTGAACTATGCTTCAGTCTAATGTTTCTGAATACTCACCTATGTTCCTCACTATATCAAAGAACTACAGCAAATACTGAACTCGGGTTTCACTGATAATATTTGAAAACGCTAAACAGGGCAATCTCACAGGAGACTTCAGCTCAAAGTTTGAACACAAATATCTGGGGGTTAAGTTCTTGTTAAAAGTTATTTTGAAAACTAATTTTAAGGAAATAATATTTTAACTATGATGTTATTATAATGCACAATTTTAATTAATCATTACCCTCCGTCTCATTTTGCGCGTGCTGTTAAGTGCCCTGGATTTGGGCACCAGGAGACAGGTTATGTCTCAGTAAGCACATACTTCAAACTTGAAAAATTACTCTTCACACAACGAGTGTATCTTTAGTCTGTTGTAAAGAGTAGCTTACTCCTACTTACACAGAGTCAAAGTGAAAGAGTTCAAATTTTTTAAAAAAGTAACAAAACAACAAAAGTTGTCCAGTAGGCACAGGGTCGGGGCAGACCACTACTTGGTTCTGGTGACAATGACCTACGGATCTTCAGAAAAAAAATGCAGATCTGGGACGTATGACGGGAATACGCAATTTCTCAGGATACGACTCTCTGCAAAAACTATGATACACAATGAGGAAAATCAACCAAAAAAGAAGCCAGTTGTTTTTCCAAACAGGTACATGTGTATTTATGCATCGTGTGAGTACGTGCTGTAATTTCTGCACACTTACCTATATGGAGACTGAACGGATGTTGCTACGGTTGGCATAGCAGTTGCCGTAAGCATTTTTGTTGCTCTGGTCACTGCATGCGTCAGAGTGGGGCCACCAAGTGCTGAGCTGGCCGCCTGTGAAACATGAAACCATCATTCTATTATCAGGGTTTCTCAAACCTCGGGCCGACTGCTATCTTGGGCTGGATGGACGCTTTTTGTTGTTAGAGGGCTGTCCCGGGCTTTGCAGGATGTTTAGCCACATCTCTGATTTCTAGTCACTACCCACCTACTGCTACCAGAAAGGTCTCCAGACATTGCCAAATGCTCTCTGGGAGGCAAAATAACCCCTGGCTGAGAACTACTGTTCTACCTATGTTAATACTTAAAACGGTACCTCATTTAATTAAGGTACTTGAATACTTTAAGTGGCTTTTTATGATGACAGATTTGGGTGAAGTCACAGATTTGGGTGAAGAACTATGAAAATCCTGCACAGATTCAAGCACGTATTCGTCATCACGAGGTTTAACTTCTTGACCTTTGGGGGCAGTAGCATTACGTTTCTGGAATAGGTAAAAAACTTAAACACAACTTAAGAACAGAAATGACTGTTTAATGCTTTAACCATCATGCTGGAGCCAAGGCACTGGAAATGTATGTGAGATAGTATCACACAGCAGGCTTCTAATGGACAAAGGCAACCAGTACCACCTACTATGGCCTTTAATAGCATCTAAGATATAATCGCAGCTGAAACATGGGCAAGGGTGGGAAAAACAAGCTCTTGCATAAAATCCCTGGGCAGAGAAGGAAAAAGGGGAGAAGGATCTACTAGAAATGTGGAATGTCGAGTAGGCCCGTTTTCTGAAGACAGTTCCCATACCCCAAAAGGGGGGGTGGGTGCAGTGGGGAGGAGACGTGGTGGAAAGAGAAGCAAAGCTTCCCTACGGAGGACATTTCTGTACTGGGGGAATCCAGGCAGATGTCTGTTCCCTCTGTGACAATACAATACGGCTGACAAATTCTTCGACAGAATCCAGCCACAAATATCAACATGACACATGATCTCAAACAGAAGATTATAAAAGGAAAAATGTCAAAGCATTTATTTTAGAAACATGTTAAATAAAATTTGCCACTCACTTCTAATCTCGTGTAACAATCAGCAATAAATTTCTTATGTAACGATACGGAATCCTAAAAGTAAGAGGTACATGGAAATTAAAATTAGTCCGACATTTAATTGCAATCATTATTAATGAGAAAACATCAAAATAAAAAAGCCAATTTTCAGGCATGCCAAAGGTCAGAACTTTTATATATATATATAATTTTCTGTTTTGTGTGTAAGTACCTTCTGTCCTTTGATACCCACCTTCTTCAATCTGGGATTTAGATTAATGTAACTATAGTTTATGATTAACTGAATAGCTTCATTAGCAATTTCTTCATCAGGTGATTCCATGGCTATTTTCCAAATGAAATCCATTCCTATCAATTCCAGCTTTTCTACATACTGTTCAAAAGAAAAAAATCATACAGCACACCAAGGTCACAAAATTACAATTATTTTCTGTTATATCATTAAGTCCACACCTTTCAGTTCAATATGCATTAAGGCTGCGAAAGCCAAGCTACCTATGAGACCACTATGGTACTGTATTTTAAATCAAAAACAACTAACCACAGAAACACTGGGCTATGTCCATGGCAACCAGGGGAGATAATGGAGAGTTTTCTCCAGATGTTCCTAAACCCAAGCTGGAAATCTACCCAAGCAGGTTACAGAAGCAGAAATAGCACAGGAGTGAAGGAGCACCAGCTTCAGGAGCTTGTCCTCAAAAGGAAACAGAGCCAGGCTAGAAGTGGTTAATAATCCTTGAGGCTCAATCGGGTCTTCCCAAAGCTCAGTTCAAACGGCAGGATCCAAGCTTACAAGATCTTGTAAACATTCGTACCATCCACGAAGCCAGGCCTTGAATCAAAAGAGGTCTTAAAAAAGACCATTTATTTACTGCCTTTCTTTTTTTAAGGTTCACATGTAAATATAAACATAAGTTGCATACATTCGACAGATCCTCACATTCTCCTGCTTCACTGTCTGTTCCTAAAGTTTCCTCCCCAAATCCCTGTCGCTGTGATGAACCGAAGATTCATCTTCAGAATGAAAGATGTTACTTTTTTTTAAATCTTTTATTTATTTTTTGAGAGAGAGACAGAGTGTGAGCAGGGGAGGAGCAGAGAGAGAGGGAGACACAGAATCTGAAGTGGACTCCAGGCCCTGAGCTGTCAGCACAGAGCCTGATGCGGGGCTCGAACTCACAAACCGTGAGATCATGACCTGAGCCGAAGTCGGACGCTCAACCGACTGAGCCACCCAGGCGCCCCAAGATGTTGTTATTTTTTAGGAACACATCCATTACTGGATCTGAGGAGCTGGAAGCTTCGATAAAACTATCCCTGTCCTGCATTCACCTAGCCACAGGAGGCTGCTGGCTGCCCTGGGTCAGCAAGAAGCACGGAGGGATGAGAAGTCAACTCTGTTCTCCCGGGCAGTTAGCGAGGTGTCGCTGTGCCAGAAAGGGAGCCTCCGTTACGCTCTAAGAGAAGCTCTGTCATCAAAGCAAAAGACGCAGTTGAGGCGATGCCCATTCTTTAAAAAAGGTCGTGTTTTCTCTCAATTAGAACACCTTTTTTGCCATGTTTTACTAGACTATCCAAATTATCCAGATTTTGGAAGAAGGTACTTACCAACTGAGCTCCTTGTCGTTTCAATCGATGATCACAAAGATTCACATTTTCAAAAAAAGTCTTAAATAAGTTAAACCCTGAAATTACAGAAGGTCAGATAAATTCATGCACTCTAAGTAACACAGATAACCAAGGAAGAGACCCAAAGTATATCTACAGCCAAAACTGTAAAACTCTTGGGACACAACAGACATAAATCTTCAAGACCTCCGATTAGGCAACAGTTTGTCAGACATGGTACCAAAAGCGCGAGCAGCAAAATAAAAAGTAGGTAAATTGAACCTCATCAAAATTAGGGGCTCTTGTGCTTCAAAGGACTATGAGAGAGTGAAAAGACCACCCACTGAATGGGACAAAATATATGCAGAGTGTCTATCGGATGAGGCGCCACTAGGCAGAATATATAAAGAAGTCTCACAACTCCACAATAAAAAGACCAACAGCCCAATTCATGACGGGCAAAAGGTCCGAACAGACATTTCTCCAAAGAATATATACAAACAGTCAATAAACACATGAAGAGATGCTCAATATCCTTAGTCATCAGGGAAATGCAGACCAAACCACGAGATAACACTTCACACACACCAGGACGGCTAGAATAAAGACGACAGACAGTAACGAGGATTGGTGAAGATGTGACGAAACTGAAACCCTCAGATGTTGCTGGTAGGGTTATAAAACGGTGCAGCCACTTTGCAGAATAGTCTGACAGTTCTTCAGAATGTTAATTATATGATTCAATTCCACTCCTAAGAGAAATGAAAACTAACGTCCACACAAAAACTTGTACATGAATGCGTACAGCGGTGTTATTAGTAATAGCCAAAAGTGATTAACACTTCAGTGTCCACCACTGATGAACAGATAAATAAAATGTGGTATATTCAAACAATGAAATATTATTCAGCCATAAAATAGAATGATACTGATATGTGCTACCATTTGACAACTGAAATGGTAAGGCCATATAATTTAAAGTGAATCACGAGATACTACTCACATAAAAAGGAATTAATCTGTGTATATAAACACAGGTATATACAGATATGTCTTTATACGCATAAAGAAAAGTCCAGAAGGATAATCCAGACTGCTTAGTTGCTTCTGAGAAGTGGGCTTACAGGGAAAGGAAAGAATCACATTTCTTAAGGAACTGAGAAAAAAAGACTTGAAGTTTTCTTCCTACCATTCATGGTGATTTCATATGACTCCAATTTAAGAATTTTCTCCTTGAAAAGCTGCTGCTGAACGTCACTCTCGAGATCATGTTGGCCTTTTGTAAACCATTCAAAACACATCTGTGGATTAAGACAAACGTTACCCTATAACTAAAGTTCATGTTAGGCAAATACTTATTCCAAAGTGGGAGACAGAAGATAGGCTACGTTCAATGCTTCAAAAATCTGTATTACCAGGGACAACGGAAACGCCTGGAACACCAGAGCCAAATAAAGCAGTTCCTAGCAGCCTCTCCCTCAGATAATGAAAATATACACTCCTCCTGTTCAATGAAGGTTAGACTTGGGCTTGCCCACTAACGTTTATTCATAAGCCTTGTTGTGTGCCAGCCGCTGTGCTGGGCACGGGCATTTATTCAGTCCTTTCAATGATCCTAGGAAGTAGTTACAACTCTGCAAACGGAGATGAGCACACAATTCATAGTTACAATACGCCAAGTCAGGTGTTCTGCTCCTGGCTTAATCTATTTTCAGCTGTTTAATTATAGTCGGAAAAAAATCTGTCTGGGCATTTATTCTTCTTTGTGTTTAGAATACAACAAAGAAGTTTGTGTTTGTGTTTCTGCCGTACAACATCATTGCAGGAACTCAAAGTTCTTGGTTGGTAACTTGAAATTAGTTCCATGGGAGGGAGAAAAATTATAAGACATACTGAGAATTCTTCAGCTGTGCTCTTTCGGCTCAATTTGGTTTTGTCCAGAATGGTATAAAAATTACCGAACTCACACGTTTATGTCATAGATATGTATCATATAATGTATTTTTTCAGCACTTACAGCTCCTGGCCGATTAGCATAAATGTGTGCTTAGCAAATTGAGAAGCATTTAAAAATTTTTTTTATGTTTATTTATTTTTGAGACAGAGAGAGACAGAGCATGAACGGGGGAGGGGCAGAGAGTGGGAAACACAGAATCCGAAACAGGCTCCAGGCTCTGAGCGGTCAGCACAGAGCCCGACGTGGGGCTCGAACCCACGGACCGCGAGATCGTGACCTGAGCTGAAGTTGGACGCTCAACCGACAGAGCCACCCACGCGCCCCTTGAGAAGCATTTAGAATCGACGATGTGAGACCCATAAAAAAGGTAAACTACAGAAGCCCCACTTCTGCCTTATTTTAGCCACACTACCATCTTCTTACCTCTCGATCCAATTCACAAACATCCTGGCCAGTCACAAGACACTCCCAGATTTCCTTGGCACGATTCCAACCCAGATACAGAGTGGCTTCTTGCAAGAAAAATGCTAGAAATTTTAGATGGGCCTCTAAATACTGCAAAAAGAAGTAATGCTAATTAGTTAACTCCAGGCATTCCTGCGCAAAAGCAAAATTAAAACAAACTCTTTAAAAATTAAAACAAGAATTCTACCTAACGCTTGCACATATAATTTAGGGTGAAATAAAGGTGAGACATCTGTTAACAGCACGATACAGTGGAAACTACTTCAAGTCTGTTACAACTTCTAGTCAAGTTGGATGGCAGTAAAATATCATCTCCGTCACCTCATACTGAAATACCGCAAACACTGGTTAAGTTTTTTTTTCTGATTTTTAAAAAGAATATTACTAATCAACTGATTTGAAAAACGAAAGCAATTCTCCACAGCACAGACCATTATCATTTCATATGAAAGGCAGAGGAAACATGGTAATCTTTATCACTTTATCGTATGCAGTTCTAAGGTGATTTGCTGAATGGTTCGCCCACAAATAACAACTTCCTAAACTGTTATTGTAAAATGGTTATAGTCAAAACATAAAACTGCTCCATTGCTACAAAGAAACCTCATGCCACCTCTTTAGAGCGACACCCTACCAGTATCACGTTTATAGTTCGCGCGCAAATAGCCAAACGGATGCTGGAAAGCACGACACGAAAGCACAGCTCCGGATACCTCCCGGTAAGTGTATCGGCCATCCACCAGCGTGGAACCAGTCAAGCCTCCAGGTCCAGCCACAGCGGCTGCAAGTCGATGACAAGCTATCAAACTTCCGGTCACCAACTTCACGATTTCAAAATTTTTCTTCAAGTCTTGAATGATGCTCTTGGCAAAAAACAACAAAAAGAAAAATGGCATGAGAATCTGCAGTCATTCTGTGAGTTTAGCAGAAGCTTCTGCTTCAGCACGTAGCCCTAGTGAGGGACTGCAAATCCAAGGATTGCTTCACTGAGGATTCATTCCCTACACAAAAGCAAACAAAATCATCTAGTATGTGCACTTACTAGGGAACTCATAAACTTTTCTGCTAACGTTTTGCTTCTAGAGACATTCTCTCCCTTTTTTTTAAAAGACGGATTTCAGAAAAGAATCTTTTCGCTTCTTGCGTACTTTTCAGGTCTTTCCTCCCAAGTCTCGTACACTGAAGGAGCTCTGGGTCCTTTAAACAATCTCATCTTCCTGAGATCAAATGTCTTTAAATCTTTTCGAACACAGTTCTGAAATACCATTCAGCCTTTTAAAAACTGGCATAATCATGTCAATCAATTAAGGAAATAAAAAGGAAATGAATCAAGGATGTTGCAAAAGAAGAGCTCTTGTAGAAATGAGAGCAGAATGATGTTTGAACTCAAGATTATTAAAGAATATAAATGAGCTGTTTTAATAATCATCAAGATGTAAAATAGTGACTTTACAACCCAGCAATTTTATTTACGTTTTGTTATTAGAGAAGTTGTGTAAGTAAGCAGAATCGTATGCTGATCAAATATAGCTGCTCTCTTACCTTGTCTTGCTTTTGATAGGTCTGTTTTATAAACGAGCGGGTGATCTCGTGGAGCTGACGCAAGGCTGGCACCACCCATACAAACTGGGGATTATTAAGCTGAGACGACTAGAGTTAAAAAGAAGTTACATTAGTTACATCCAGAAATGAATGGCAGGCAAAATTTATTACCTATAAAAATTTCCCAAGTCGATTAGGTTTGATGCTATACATTCTATTATTTTCCTGTCCACACTGCTCATTTACAGCTCATCTCCATGCACTCATAAGTCAGTCTTCAACTTCTTATTCTGCATGCAATTTCCTAAGGCCAAGAACTGCAAACAGGAGTGGATGTGAAGTGACAGTAAATGTACAGGGTGCATCAGCAAAAAACAGACGACAAGGGATTAGCAATTTCAGAGGATAGATTAAGTAGCACAGGCTGCTAGGACATGTTGACATGATCAAATGAACTGACGGGCAAAGTTTAACTTGGATGATACTGGACTGGCTGGTGAGGAAAATGATATAGAAATGTGATTTTCTACAATTATATGATTAAGATACCAATGATATGATCAAGACACTGATAGTGGTCTATATATTCAAGAAAATACTCATGACCTGCTTATATCTCCTAGTTAAAACAATTTTGCAAGAGAGAATTCAATTTTTATCAATTATTACAGCCACTTTACATTTGTACTTTGTATTTTTCAGAAACACTTTCAAATGTTATTTCTGAAACTGGTACAGGACAATCCAGATCTTCGTAGTACGTATCTGAAAAGTCTGATGTTCGTGAAATAATCTTTAAAAACAGAACTGCTCTCTAACATAGAACAACTTTCAAATTAAGAGATCTGTAAAATTTGGAAGGCTGTCAGTTTAACACTATTAATCAAATTATCGATTAAGTGTCTAAAAAACTGAGTACAATAAGTTTTAGGTCCTTAGCCTTTATTTTCAAGGCTGAATTTTGCTTTCGTTTTTAAAGCCTTCTTGCTTCTTCACGTCTTTCAGTAACATGAAGACCTTTATGGGGCAGAAAATACTTCTGAAAAAACCTACTTTCTGTCTTTGGCAGAAAAACAGCATACTACTGAATGTGTAAACGAGAGCGAGCTATTGCCCAAAGCAAGACTGGTCTTCTTGGAGATCAGCCAACCAATCGCAAATACCGTATTTCCTGGATTCTAAGATACAGGTTTTATAAATTTCAACATTTCTGAAATTGACACTGTTTACAATTTTGTCAAAAGTAACTTAGCAGCCACTAGGGGGGGAGAAAGTTTTGACACGGCTGTCCTTACCTGCGTACGTGCACCCTTAGCTGTATATGAAATGTATCTACTTGTGCGTCTACCCGTCATTTTAGTTGCGACCTCATATATGTAGCACCAAACAAGGATGGCTTCTTAACTTGAATTTAGATCACAAATTTGTTACTTAAACTGTCAAAGAGATGACACTACGATGTAACAGGATTAGCCTGCCGTGTGTGTCAACTCAAAAGCAAAGAAATCCTGCCAGTGGTCTCAGTCTCAAAGCCAGGAGAATTTGGTGCGACAGACTCATACCCTGTGAAGGGCCGTGTCACCCACCACTAAATGTCTCTGTCCAAAGGTTGCACCCAAAATGCAAGAGAAGCTGTTTATCTTGTAGTATACACAACTTGACTCAGTTAAGGAAAAAAGCAGCTTGAGTTTTACAAAAAAGGACAAGGACACAAAATTCCATAGTCTTTAACATGCCTCGGAAGGATACAGTCATTCTTACGGAGGTCAAAGTCACTACCAGATAATGAAAAGCACTGTGCCAGTGAAGCCGTACAGACTGGTCAGAAAGAGGCTTAGATGCAAACTCTTGAGTGTGACTTTAAACTAAAGAATGGTAAAACTAAAATGTAGCTTCTTTTTTCCTTCTCTGCAACTTACTAAATCTGTGATGCAGGTTGCAGTCACTGGCATCTTAGAATCAGAGAAATAAGGTATATATTAAAGGCCAACTGTTTGCAAGACCACCTACGTATTTGTGCTAAAACAGAAGAGTTGCAAAATGACAAAGATTAAAACCCTAAGGCTTAAGTCCAAACTCATACCTACCAAAAGGATTATAAACATGAGGATATAAATATGAACCCTCTAGCAAATAATCAGATATGTTAAAAAGCACTATTAGGACGATTTCAGTTAATTATGGTTAGAATATTTTTATTTAACATAGAAAATCATCCTTTGAAAGTAGCTCACCATCCAATAAAATTCAGGAAATCAAATAAAATTGGAATTTAAAAAGTATTTCTGATATGGCCTTTCTAAAGTTTAGCAAACAGGAAAGATGTTATTTATTCCATCATATCCACGACACGATGTTGCTCAGTTACAAGAAAAATTTAAATTATTTTTCTCCGCTTACCAAAAGGGCAAGAGACTACGGTGACCAATTAAAATGAGCACGTTTGATAATGCCTGGTAATGGAGCTGAGATTTCATAAGTAGGCGGTAACGGTATGTCCAAATTAGACCTCAATATCAGATGAAGCCTTCAAGGTCAATTGGTATAGCCTGCAAACCTATGCCTAAATCCTCAGTCACTCTGGTTTAACGACTAGTCTCCTAGTGCTTCCCGTGATGAGGAACAGTGCATTCTACTGCCGACTTCTCACGGAAAGTTCGCTGCTCTCTCATATTGAAACAGGCCTCCCGCGACTTCTTGGGAGACATAAAAAGTCGGTGGGATCAAACTTCTCTATCACAATCTAAGTCTCTGAAGAACACTTTCATATTCTTTCTTGAATTCTCTTCTCAAAGCTGAACATCCCCCCTTTCTCATCTGTCTTCTTTTTCCAGACCTAGCCATTTACCCTAGATTCAAAGCACACATTTTTGCATGGGAGGACGTTTTTAAAAAAGTATTTCCTCCTGTGCTAACCACATCACTGTGAGGCTGTCCTGAGGACATCTTGCTACTTTTGCTTTGAATTATGTGCTTTGGCAAGTAGAGGCCACTCCACTCTGGGTAAGTAACGATTTTAGTGTCCTCACAGGGTGAAGGGGCGGAATAAGAGGAAGGGGCGGGCATCCACCTAGAAGCTGCCAGGCACTGTGCTGGGGGGCAGGGGTGGTGCTGAAGAGAATGACTTAGGGAATACCCAAACACTGCTACTTGAGTAAAAACGACTTTTTTGGCTTAGTGATTTTTTTTTTTTTTGATGCGTACATTTAAATTTTTAATTGAAGGGGAAAAAAGGAGTGAAATAAGAGGGAGAGGGTTGGGGGTAAACAGTGGAAGGTATAAAGGAAGCAAAGGAAAGAGGACCAAGGGAGCCAAGGGTAGGTATCCTGGCAGAATCTACAGAAATAAAGTTAAGAAATAAGGGTCGGAATTTCCGAACACAACAGTGGAACCTGGGAATTTTAAAAGTGTCAAAAGCAGAGGGAAGGGGAATCAGTTGGGGGAACAGAGGTAGCTGAGGGTGGGAGGGGAGTAAGAGGTGGGTGATCTTGTCTTACCCTTTGCTTAGTTTCTGTGTAGCCTGGCAGGGAGACATAATCCCCAGTCAGCCCACCTTGCTGCCTGGCAGGAAAGGGCATAGCATAGAAAAACACCTTTAGTGGCAGGATATAACTCACCCCCCTGCCTGGAGCCAGATCCAGGGGGCTCTGATCTTCCCGCTGCCCCCCTCAGCCATGTGTACTTTCAGAGCGAATGTGCGAGAGCACTCAGTCCACTGAAAAGTGCTATGTCAACGCAAGGTATTATTTGGAATGAAATCATGGTACATGAGAATTTCTTTAACTGGGAGCAGTGGGAAATAAAAACGGAAGGGCACTCCTTTCAAGTCTCACAAAATGACTCCAAAAATCGCCACGTGACTTGAGCTTTGTTATAACACAACAGGCATGAATGAAGTGACCGCAAAGAGGGGCAACAAAGAGGCGCCGACGCTACGACTAGAAGAGCGAAGTCATGCTGAGCCACGGCGAGGAAGGAGCAGGCGGCGGGAAAGGGGTGCTGGGTTCAAAAGCCACTTCCCTGGAGGCAGGAAAAAGTCCCTTGAGCTGGGACCCTCAGATTTATAAAGAAATGTATCTGCTGCTGAGAAGACAAGCCTGTTTGTCTACAGATACCCTTTCGTCTTGCTATTACTACTGCTAGGGAAGGGTCTAAACTCCTTACACAACTCACTCTGGATGAGGGTCAACCGCAAAGACAGAGACTGCAACAAAGTATCTGAATCGCTAAACTGAGAGAACTTGAAAAATTCACACTGTATCTGAGAGCGAGAGCAATGTTGTTGAATTAAAGGAACAATTCCTTAAAACCTGAGCATCATCAGCTCCAGTTTGTGAGTGACTTTTTGAAAATCTCTAAGGCTAGGTTATATGTAGAAAATTCACCTGATCACATTTCGGCATCAGAAATCTAAAACACAAAGTTCTTACGTGTCCCTAACTAAACTTTATGACCAAATATAACTTAATAAAAGCTCACTGAATCACCACGGCCTCTTAACAAGAGCTAAGAGTCTCTGAATATACCAATGAAAATTAGCAGTATTCAAGAACCTTTAAAGAAACACTTATTAATGAAAGCCAAGAAAAATGTTTAGCCAACGAAATTACTAAGCCACATTCACCAAAACCTTTTTTTATGTTACAATAAAACGAAATCCCTCCTGTTATGAGGCTTTCCATTGGGTCTGGGCAACCCAAGGGCCTCGGCTAGAGGAGGGCACTGCTTTGGTGGGGCAGGTGTGGGGGGGGTGGGGGTCCTGCCGCAACAGGGGAGGTCACTCCAATGAGCCGCCCCAAGATCAGCCCTCCGGAGCACAGACTGGATGTCTAAGCACTGCAGGGACGGGAGAGCTACAGTCATCACTGCTTACTCCGCTAACCATGCTTTCAAAGGGCAGCCCCTAGGTGCCCAGCAGGCTGGAAGGCAGAGCCCTGAGGCAAAGGGCTCCCAGAGCAGTGGCCCCATTGGCTGTCACCGCCTACGCCCGCCTCCTAGTATTGGGTCCTAGCAGCAAGAGTCACCAAGGAATCACTTTATGAACACCTCTGAACTAGGCACCCGAAAAACAACTATGTGCCAGCAGTGAATGAACCTCCTCCTTCCCTTCTCTTTCTTACTCCATGAACAGTGCTCCACTTCTCCCTCATGGCAGAAAAATGGCCGTGGTATTTATGCAGAATCCATCGGACTCACTGAAACGGTGCACACTTCGCATTTAGTTTACAAAAGAAGGAACTAAGTTAAAGGTCTTATAATTTTATGAAAATAATAAAACTACCCTGTGAACGGTGACCTTGGATTTGTGAATAGACGGCAGTTTCCGAGCATTACTCAAAGAAACACCAAAACACTTATTAAAAGAAATTATTGAATTAGTATACCTTTTGGGCGGTTCCATGTGAAAAGTCTTACCTTGAATCCGTCCTTCTTGTTTTTTTCCAAACCTGACCACTCTCCGGGCTGAAATGAATTTTAAGAGAAATGTAAGTGGCTTGGTAAAAGTAGTACCTACAATTTCCAAATCTTGGACTCTAAGGTAAGAGTTTCCAGGTCGCACATTTGATTTACATAATAGGCTAAGAAAATCATTGGGTCCTAAGTACTCAGACAATGCTATTGATGCTCTGACTACAAAAGGAGGTCGAAGGTAAGACCAACCCTTTTAATATCTTCTATGCACTTAATGATGTAGCTTCTCTTGATTGCTTCCTTCACCGCGTATGCGTCACTCAGGATCGTCAGGTGCTCCTCCAGGGCTTGCTGGATAAGGCTACTGGGCAGGGTCGGAAGATGGGCCAGTTCCCAGAGTACATCTAACACCTACAATAACACCACACAAGATGAGCCCACACATGCACGAACAACCGCATAAAGTATGTGGAGCTGGAAAGATTAATTTCATCCTCCTGCCTTTCCAGACGTGGTCTCAAAGCGAGCTTCCCGGCCTATTCGTCCAATCAGGCTCAACAGCTTCTGTCTTACTCTATCGCTTTCCATCTCCCAGCTCTGCGGAAGGGAAAAGGCAAGACAATCCAATTGTATCAAACCGGCAAAATATGCAGAAAGCTTACACCTGAGCTAGAAAGGTTCGCTAAAGCAAGAAGAGTGTATGTTTAGATGCTTCCAGCTTAGAGGGGGAAGCTTCTTTTAGAAAAAACTTAAAAAGCTAGCACGTTTGACTGGACACGTACCTTCTGAATGAGAACAAACAAATGATTAAGCTGATCTGAATTAAATTTGACAGCTGCTGCAGCAATAATAGTATGGATGTTCTCGATCACAGTAGATGATTGTCCCGACTGGAAAAGGAAACATGGGGGGCAAGTTAAGTCCTGGAACTTGGAAAAAACCTCAGCCTCCCATCCCCCACCCATTCCCCCCTCCTGCAACTGACAGAAGAGGAAAGCAAAGCAGCAATAAAGATAAACTGATTCCAGTTTCATTGGCATTCCCTTGCATGAGAATACTGGCAAAACTAAAGGAAGCGACCCTTGTTAATGGCCATCGGTTGGCCTTGGTTAAATTCCTAGCAGTATTAAATCTTTCAAAAGATGACAGTTAAGTGCTCAATCTGACATATTCACTTCAACGGGAGTGCAAAGTATTTTCGACTGGCAAATAAAGATTCAAATTGATTTCAGGACTTTGCATTCACTTCCAGCTGAGGGGAGTCTCTACCTCGTTTTCTATTTTGCTCATAGATACATTGTAACTTCAATGAATAGTTATTTATTCCTTGGGCAGTAAGTTTCTGCTTCAGAGATGTAGGTCCTGTGGCTGTCCTTATGGTTGAAACTCACTTTATGACCTCAACCATGACTCCATCATGCCTCACTGCTCACCATGTGGAGGACTTGAAAGGCAGGGACTTTTTTAGAGTCAATTCCACAAGAATTTTCCAGTATGTGCCATATACGAACATTCACCGCATGCAGTAGGGATATACATTGTATCCATCATGATCTCTAATCTTTAGCCTTATGTGGACTCACAACTTACACTCGCGACAGTCTGTGAGGGTATTCAATCAACGAAAGCGGACATGGGAAGTAAGATCTGTAGGACCCAGGATGGTTTTCTGTCAGTCCTGTACCTGCCAATCACATTTCCTCTACTAGCTATGCTCCCGCTAGGTCCTGCCCAGGGGAGGCACTGCGGGCAGATGAGAAGGCAGGGGGAAGAAAGAGGCACTGCTCTGTGCTCAGGGACTGGACGCAGGTGCTGGCCCTGGCGGCAGCACGGGCTTCCAGGAGCCCTGCTGGGGGTGCCAGGCTCAAGGGCAATCCCAGCATTTGCAGCGAAAGCATCTCCAAAAGCAGATTCCTTTCCTTGCACTTTGTATGCCCTTTCCCCACTCCGCTCCCCCAGCATTCCTGCTTCTCTCTTCTGCTCTTCCCCCCTAGCAACACCTTTGTCAACAACCCCCAGTATCCAGTTCCCTCTGAGACACCTAGCGAGGCTTCGGTTTCCTGACCAGGTTCTGACTGATACGGTGTCTAAGAGGGTACAGGTGAGGTGAGCTCCGGGCCTCTTTCTGGCTGGGCAACTAGATGAAGGCTAACACCATTACTGACACAGACCGAAAAAGGACTAGGTACTGACATACTGGATTTGAGATGCCTACAATATGGCATGCATGAAGGCACAAGAGTTATATATACATTTACATACACTGCACTGGAGGGCCAAGAAGACGTATGGATTAGGGACAGAATTCTGAGAGTCAGCAGCATCCAAAAGCAGTCAAAGCCACAGGAGTGGAGGAAACTGCCTAATGGAAGATTATACACCGAGGAAAGGGCTAAGGACTAAGGCTTGAAAGAAACTAACATTTACAAAGTAGAAGAAAATAAGTTAGTAAAGGAGACTTGAAGAGGGTGCCAGAAAAGTGGGAGGACAATGAGTCAAATGGATATTAACAGAGCGAAGGAAAAAGAAAATGAAGGGTGTGGCTGATTCTGTCACAGCTGCTGAGGGTCCGGGTAAGCTGAGGTCTGTAAACTCAGTGTTACTTTCATCCTCATTTACCAGAGCTGAACAGGAAACACCTATCCATGAACATAGATAAGCAAACACAGTGAAAAGAACAGGACACTGACAGACAAAAGACATGTAATTCCCAACTGCTGTGTGGCCTGTGGTAAAGCTTTTCATTTTTTTCAATCTGAGACATGAGAAGACTAGACTAGCTGGGTAGTTTTACATCTTCTGGGTAGTGCAATCCTTTTGCACATATGCAATCTTAGCAGAAGCCCTGAACTGCAAACCAGACTGGAGCAGCTTCCGCTTTGACTAAAGCAGGATACAAGATCCATTTCCCTGCTTGTTCACCACTCTCCTTCCCTCTCCTTCTGACAGAAATGTCAGAAAAAGGCAAAAATAATTCTGATCAACTTACCTGTATCTTCCAAATTTTAGTAAGTTCATCTAAAGACAATTTACTGCCCAAGAGTTCAATAATCCCCTTTATACGATCACAGTATTGTGCTTGGTCTATGTTGCCTAAGGGAAGAAACACCCAAGAGGCAGACAGATTCAGTGAACATTGACTTTCTAAATACGATTCTATTAATTCAAAGCAATATTAACTCGCTACCAGATTTAAAGGCTAACACAGTCAAAACAACATTTTCACACCTTTCTTTGATATAAAAATACATCACTTACAACTACGTGTTAAGAAATATAAATATATGTTTTTAAAAAGCACCTTACCTTCCAGTGCAATGGACAGAACTGAGTTTTCAACCAGCCAATCTAACAATCTGTCTGTATCTATAGCATTCTTCACAGATTTGGATAAAGTGCTATCTTCTATTAGTTTGGTTACCTAAGAAGACAGGATTATTGTGACAGAATCCAGCACAAATATGCACAATCAAAATCTTCATATATATGTATACATACCCTGTGACTTTTACAGTGTTGCAATGTGGTCTGTTAGCCAAAATGTATCAAAGGCCAGTTACTGTAATAAGTTAACAGACTACTTATTCCTGATGTCTCTTTAAAAACAACGTGGAGCCGGGGCACCTGGGTGGCTCAGTCAGTTGAGCATCTGACTTCAGCTCAGGTCATGATCTCATGGTTCATGAGTTCGAGCCCCACATGGGGCTCTGTGCTGACAGCTCAGAGCCTGGAGCCTACTTTGAATTGTGTCTCTCTCTCTCTCTCTCCACCCTTCCCCCACTCGTGCTCTGTCTCTCTCTTTCTCAAAAATAAATAAAAATATTAAAAAAAAAAAAAAAAAAGAACGTGGAGCCAACAAGGGCACTCTGAGCAATTTCACAAAAACACTAAATATTTCCAAAAATTTCAGAGAATGAATTTTGAATGTAACACATGTAGAAAGATCACGTTAACAATGACGAACACAGATACCATTTTATATATAATCACCGTTACCTCTTTTTTGAATGATTACAAGAAATTATTCTGCTTCCTTTCTCAACATTCTGATATTAATGACCACAAGTTTTGGCAGAACTTAAAGCGTCTGTGCTTTAAGTCTTCTACAAACAAATACAAAACTTACTTCTTTGAGGGAATTCATTTTAGCGCTAAAATGTGGCGACTTCAGCATGCGCAGTAGGATGTCTAATCGAAGGTCATCCACCACGGTCACCAAATCCGGCTGGAAGCGCATGCAGAGTAACTTGATGGCAGACAAGAGCTCGGGGATGCTAACCAATCTCTTTTATTCAAAGCACACACAAACAGAAAAGCAGCCATGAGAACGTTTTGCTCCCAATTCAGACACGGGAGTACGGGACATTTTCAACAGCAAAGGTTGGTGGTATCCCATACTCCATATGGTCAATTAACTAGTTTGCTTCTAAACAAAAGTTAGCACACAGGTGAGCAAAAGGAAGGATCCTGTGAGAATTTCAAGGTCAACAACATAAAGACTGTTAAACTTAAATGCTAAAATTACTTTAAACAACTTTGGACAAGCTTGTAGTACTGAATTATTTAAAAGCTTCTTCAATGCTATACCTATTAGAATACTCTCTAAATCAACACGTTAGTAAAATTCTGAATGGTATCACTTGCTGAGAACCCTATAATCACTCTATTGATTTAATGCCAACCTGGTGCTTCAGAATGCTGATGCTTTACAAAAAGCATTTCTTGCTTAGAAAATGTAAAATGAACTTGATGTGAGTTGTATATGACCAGAATCCAAAGAACAATGGCGTGTGAACCCTGCCCCGAGTCCTGGCTGTGCTTTGAGGACTAACAGGCTCTGGGGCCTACCTGTCTGGAGACGGGATTTACCTTATCTTTGAGGTCCTTTTCCTCCACGCTCCGTACATCCTGGATCGCAGTAAGGATGACTGGGTCTAGCATCGGCTGCAGAAAAGATGTGCTGCGGTTAATAAAGACTCCGGATTCTGCCCCAGAACTAGAGAGCAGACACTTCTTCATTCACACTTCACAAAGGACAGAGTGCAGCGGAAGGATCTCAATTCTAGTGCCAAGAGCCCCATAGCTAGCTAGCTCCTACCATCCCAAGTAGGCCGTACCCGACTCTATGCCCCAGCTCCTTTAATACCACATGGGTGCAATCCCTGTCATCACTATCTCAGAGGGGTCCTTTCAAAGAGCAACCAAAGACACATAAACTAACTTTTAAAACATGAAGCATGAGTAGGTATTATTTCTGTAATAAAGTAAATATTTGGTGTTTGATTTTAACAACTGCATATAAGCACAGACCACGAAAAAAAAATGCTGTGATATGCACTATTTTTGTGTGCTGATATAAATGAGGCCTACAGACGAGACTCCTACAACACATCGCTCCGGGATGGTAGCATAATCAGATAACTAACTCTAAATATTACATGAGGAGGAGGAAAATATTAGCTAGGTCTAAATGCTCACTTCCAACTAAGTAAAATAATTTTTAAAAACTTATCTGGTGACAAGAGAAGATAGACAGCATATGGCTGTCAAAGCCAAGAAGACATTAGCAAAGAATTAAAATGACACCAGGCGATTATCCAACTGGGATTTCTTCCTCTACGCTTGCGTCCCCTGTCCGGGGAAGACTGGGGGCTGCTAGGGTAGGAGGCAAGCAGTGCTGTTCTCGTCAGTGGCACCCCCCGGCTCACTTCTCACTGCAGCTCAAAGGGCATGATCACCATTTTATAGACAAGAAGGCCAAAACACAGATGTTACATATGTCTTCCAAAGCATACAAGGGGCAAGTGGTAGAGACCGTTGTTAATTTACATCAGGTAATACGGATGTGAACATGGTATGAGAATAAATTCAGAGCATGAATATATTGCTGAGTAAATCGAAGGTTGGCTAATTTGAAGCAATTAAATATGCTTTGGTTGGAAATTCAATACTTTTTACTCTTTTTGAAGTCTACTGTGCTTATTTATATAAAACTTAGAATTTCTTTGTTAATTTTTTTTAGTCTTTATTCATTTTTGAGAGAGAGACAGAAAGAGACAGAGAGAGAGAGACAGAGCACGAGGGAGGGAGGGAGGGAGGGGCAGAGAGAGAGAGGGAGACACAGAATCCGAAGCAGGCTCCAGGCTCTGAGCTGTCAGCACAGAGCCTGACGTAAGCCTCGAACCCATGAACCGTGAGATCATGACCTGACTCAAGGCTGGACGCTTAACCAACTGAGCCACCCAGGCATCTCTAAAACTTAGAATTTCTAAAGAATTTAATATTAATTAGAAGCTAGAACATTTATGCTAAATCTCTTTCCACAAGGCAATGCATGGGTAGAGAGCATTTAAAAATCCAATCCTGGCCCTGATGATTAAAAAGCCAATTATTAAATTATTAGTATTTATTACTAAATTATTAAAAAGTCAAATAATTTTGCCTCTTATACCTTAGTGTTTCAACTATAAAATTAATGATTATATGCTTAATAAGGTGAAAGAACATAAAATGTTTCTAATGAGCTTGATATCCAGAATGAAGAAATACATAAATAGCCCACCATCTGATTTCATGTAAAAATCTTGCAGGATTACTCTGACATTTAAAGAAAGCATTTAACACTTAGAAATGGTAGAAATTTCCTGAACCTACTAAAAAAATCGTATCTCCCTTGTTAAAACGAGATATTAGCAAGAAGGAACAGTGCATACAAAAACACTGCTCCCAAAGGACTCTATGCTTTCAAAGCCATTTATAGTGATTTAAAAAAAAAAATCACTGGGAAAGTTACAGGTTTCACAGACCTATTTACAAAGAAAATAAAAAATGAAGGTATTTCAAAGTGACACTTTATTCAGTTAAACCTGTCAACTGAGATGGAAAGGAAACAAGAAAGTATAATAGGCCTTAAGCACTAGAAAACTGACATGCACAGCTCTATTTGATGGCCTGTTGACTTACAACCTGCAGGGACGGGAGATCAGACAAGATGCGCTGTTAAGCTGTTATTCAGCAGTGACTTAGCTAGCAAGGAAGCCCAGTGGGTTGTTCAACACTGATCTCATTTAATACATAATGGCACTGAATCCTTAAACAGTCCTGGGAAGGGGGTTGGGATATATGTGGCCTATTTTACAGATGAGGAAACAAAAATACATGTAATCATATATAAATTCTATTTGATAAAATGATAAACTGAAAAGGTAAATCATCTTTTCAAATATTAGAAGTCTCCTCTACCTTGAATTATTAACCATTTTTTCGTTATTTTCTGAGAGTATTTTTATCAGAAAAATAGCTAATCTGAACAAAGAAAAGAAATAGGGCACAATTCTGACCAACCGATAAAAAGGTAATTATTACTGTCTGTATGTGTTAGGTCACCTTCTGAAGCAAATGTAAAGTGGCCTGTCTTACCTGAACCACCGAGGAATTGAGGTACTCTGCACACACCCCCAAGGGCTGCACCAATGCTGAGACCGCCTGAAAACAAGGACAGTGAAGGTCAGACATCAGTGTGAGAGGGTGTTTTTCCTTTCAGCATTAAACACGTCCCTTTCAGGGACAATCTGAAATGGTGACTAGATCAAGTCCCGAATGAATGACCAGACAAACCACACCCCCCAGGCGGGAAGAACCGGTAACAAGACGTCAATCCATTTACATTGTTACAGAAATTTAATAGAACTTAAATCATAATAATGCCAATAAAACTTCTTTGGAGGACTGGATGAAAGACTTTTAAAACTTACATTGTAGAATACTAACAGTTTTTATTTGAAAAAGAAGGGGATAGTAGGCGAAGGAGTGAAATGTGCCTTCAACAAACCACCGAAGTCTTCCGTGGAGGAAATTATAAAACTTTACTGAAACGCGTAAGGGAAGACCCAGACAAACAAGCAGATGCCATGTTCCCGAACAGAAAGAACCAGCACTGTAATTCTCCACACAGGGACCTATACGTTTAACACAATTCCAAACACAACCTCTGGGGGATTTCTGCAGGACAACCTGGCATGTTGATTATATTCAAAGGGCAGAAATACGAGAACGATCAAGGAGATCTGAGAGAAGAAGGACGTGGGGCAGACTGGTACTACCAGGAAGGAAAGCTGTGCAGCAATAGTATAGAAATGGGCAAAGAACGCACGAACAAACCAACAGAAGGAACACACCCGCGTACACGTGGGGCGGTGACATGTGACTGAGCCAATACGTCAAAATAGGAGAGAAATCAGGGATTAGTCATTAGAGGATCTGATGACAATCAGTTACCTATTTGGAAGAAAATTAAACTGGATCTCTATCTTATGTAATATATAAAAATAAATTCTAAATGAATTCAAGAACCAAGCATAAAAAATAAAACTGTAAAGTATAAAATAAAACAGGTATTTTTATAACTTTGAGATGGGAGAATATTCCCTAAGCAAGTTAGAAAACTCTTAAAGCCATTAAAGAAAAAATGGGGAATTTTTATAAAATGTGGAAGCTCCTGTTAGCAAAAGACACTATCAATAAAAATAAAAAGAGAAGCAAAAGACTGGGAGAAAAAATTTACAGATACATAAAATGGGCATGGCATTGATATGCTGAACATAAAAAGAATTCCTGAAAGTTAACAAGAAAACCCCAAAGAAACCTAAATAACGATGTCAATTTATAGAAGAAATGTAAACCGCCAATAATCACATGATGAGATGCTCAAATTCACAGGAAATGAGAGTACTGCAAATTAAATAACAAAGTACTATTTTTGTCCATTATAATGAAAAAACTAAAGATGGAAAATATTCAGTACTAACGAGAGAAACAGGAAATGAGTTTATGGGAGTACAGACTGGTCCAAATAAATCTCTTTTTTGGAAAGAGATTACTATGAATTATATTAAAAATCACATTTTCTAGGAATTTGTCCTTCAGAAATGGTACCATATGCACATAAAGACAAATTTACATATTTACATGGTACCCACAAATAAGTGACAGCATCATGGTACCACAGTTGCAGAAACACATTACAGCCATTAAAATCAATGACAGCACGGATCTGGAAAGATGTCCGTGATGTAACGTTAAATGAAAATATGCCACTACATGTAGCTTGGTTACAATTCAGCCTTAAAGACAGAGAAAGCAGGAAAGAACGTGCACAGGTATATTCCACATAAATTTAGGCAAAAGTCAGAAATGCTATGAGTCAAATGGGTAGCTATTACCTAGGAAGAAGGTAGAGGTGTGGGGGCTTGGGGGGATGGAGGACAGGCACCTTCCATTCCTTACTTTGTACAGGTAATTTAAAAAAAATTTTTTTTTTTTTTTTTAACCTTTATTTATTTTTGAGACAGAGGGAGACAGAGCATGAATGGGGGAGGGTCAGAGAGAGGGAGACACAGAATCGGAAACAGGCTCCAAGCTCTGAGCCATCAGCCCAGAGCCCGACGCGGGGCTCGAACTCACGGACCGCGAGATCGTGACCTGGCTGAAGTCGGACGCTTAACCGACTGCGCCACCCAGGCGCCCCTAAAAAAATTTTTTTAATGCTTATTTATTTTTGAGAGAGAAAAAGTGAGAGCAAGCGGGGGAAGCGGCAGAGAGAGAGGGAGACAAAGAATCTGAAGCAGGCTCCCGGCTCCGAGCTGTGAGCAGAGCCTGATGTGGGGCTTGAACTCATGAACCGTGAGATCATGACCTGAGGTAAAGTCGGATGCACAACCAACTGAGCCACTTGGGGGTCCCTGTACAGGTATTTTGAACTGATCAATTGTGAATGTTGCTTTTTCACAGTATTTTTCAAGTTCAAAAATATATAAATATAAATGTAAATGTAAAATGAATGCATTTACTTGTACTCAGTGGCCTATATTTATTCTAGGACACAGTCACCTTAACTGCTTAGGAAGTAGGCATTGATTGTGAAATTTTAATCCTTGTTTGATAAAATCAGAGCCTTAATCTTTGGAATCTCTTTCTCCTATGCCTGAATTTCATCATCATCTCAAATAAAACTAAGCAATATAATTCTCTACCAACTGCAGCAAACAACACGGTTGTTTGAAAAATGGTCTGACCTAAGGGAAAAATCTTGGAGGAATCTTTAACCTCAAGATATTTAATAATAATGAGGGTAAGTCCAGATTCCTACATATCTACCTTTAAGCCAATTTTCTTCCAAGTAGGGTAGAAACTTGGACTGCTCTGTATTTTTTTTTTAAATACATTAACTCTGCCAGAAATTAGTATTTTAACATTTTAAAAATATGAAGCAATTTCTTTTTTTAAAAAGTTTATTTATTTTGAGAGAGAGAGAAAAAAAAGAGAGAGAGCATGCATGCACACGGTGAGGAGAGGCAGAGAATCTCATGCAGGCTCTGCACTGTTAGCATGTAGCCTGACGCATGGCTCGAACCCACAAACGGTGAGAATGTGACCTCAGCCAAAATCAAGAGTCGGATGATTAACTGACTGAGCCACTCAGGCACCCCGAAGCTAATCTCTAATATGACCAATGACCTATACAGCCAGTTTTTGAGAAATAAGTAAATTGGATAAAACCCTGTATCTGAAAAGGTTTTTGGTTTTAAATAGTTTTGCTTTTTTAAAAAAAAAAAAATGTTATGTTTATTCATTTCTGAAAGACAGAGAGCACAAGCAGGGGTGGGGCGGAGAGAGAGGGGGACACAGAATCTGAAGCAGGCTCCGGGCTCTGAGCTGTCAGCACAGAGCCCGACACGGGGCTCGAACTCACGAACCACGAGATCATGACCTGAGCCGAAGTCGGATGCGCCCCATAAACGGTTTTGCTTCTTAAATCATTACCCATTATTTTCCAGATCAGTAGTCACTTCTAACATGCTTGGTCCACTCAATGGGGATCAAAATGACGGCCAAACAGCCTAGTTAACATTCAGGGAAGGGAGAAGACACTCCCTGGTCAGTGTCAGCAGAAGGCTTGGCAGACACTTAATCTTTCAGGATAAACAGTGGGTGGCAAGAAAGGGTCAGTTTATTACCAAGCATACCATCAGACTCTCTCCTGGATGTTACTTCCCTCGCCCAAAGACGGACCAAGCAAGTTAGCTGATTAGTCGCGGTTCCGCAGGAGCAAGCGCTGCTCTAAGCACAATCCTACGTCACTCAGGGGCAATGGATGACTTTACCCCATCACCTTCTGTTCTCAGTACATCACGGTAGCTAGCACAGTGTCCTACATGTGGCCAAGTACATAACGAGCAGTTAAGTGAACAATCAACCAGAAGACAGAATAAAATGCTCCTAGTTACAAACAAGTCAGCCCTCTGTGAAAAATAAAAGATTAAGTTATTCCCCTTACCATAAGGTTAAATGTCTTTGAGAAAATGAAGTCCCATATAAAAAGAGGATGTACTGATTCTGAGGGAGGATTCTAAGCTCCTGTGACAGCCCTGTGTTATCTAGGAGTCCTACAATACCAAAAAACTTCCTACCAACCTTAAAATGAAATATTTTATTGTGCCTGGCACCAGGGAAGACTTTCTGATGTAACGGAGTCATAACACTGTATGTACACATATCTTTGCCACATACAGCAACTGTCCTTAAAAAGCAAGATGATTTCACACAACCATCACAAATTAGGAGGTAAATGCCAAAAGCAAAGGGAAATGGGGGGGGGGGGGGAAAGCAAATACCCTACACTGAAATTTGGTTATGATTAGGAGCAAACATTCCTTTATCAGAGCCACTGAAACCGCTCCTGCAGAGATAACACTGTAACGTTTCATTGACTGTGTCCAGACCACGTCCCCTGGGTAACATACCAGCCCGAATAAAGTGAACTTCTGCTGTGGGCACGCAGACTGGTTTAACTTACCCCAAGTTCTATATCTTCCGAATGAAGCTTGGCTTGGATTGCTGCAAATCCACCTAATTCTCCAAACTGAGAAGAGAAAGGGCACAAATTAACTTTAAAATGCTGTACGTTAATAATTTAAACAAGACACAAAGGCTACCATTCTACTCTGCCAACGTGCTTTATAATACTGACCTAGAGAAAGCCATCACAAAGATAATTCTATTGCTCCTGCGATACACTGCAGGAGATGTGCTAAATCCTGACGCTGGTGCTCATCCGTATAAACAGCATATGATAAAGAAGAGGAGGAACTGAAAAACATTCTTATTGTTCTTTCCAGCTGTCATTTACCTAAAATACCAAACTCTAAGCAATTTCATTAAAAGAAGGAAAATACGACTATATTAATAAAAGTTATATACCTTATTTACCAAATCCACAACCCATCCGTGAGGCTCCTATGAGAAAAGAAAATAGAAATTGAGCTGGCAATATGAGAACTTCCCCATGGGCCCATAGATGTTTTTTTGTTTTTTTAAATTTCTGAGACAGAGAGAGACAGAGCATGAGCAGGGGAGGGCAGAGAGAGAGGGAGACACAGAATCGGAAACAGGCTCCAGGCTCCGAGCCATCAGCCCAGAGCCTGACGCGGGGCTCGAACTCACGGACCGCGAGATCGTGACCTGGCTGAAGTCGGACATTTAACCGACTGCGCCACCCAGGCGCCCCTAGATTTCTTTTTAACCTAAGCGAAGAGTTGGGAGAAGAAAATATTAAGATTTGAAAAATATTTCAAAAGGCTTTTCTACATGTTTCTTAACGTGAGTCTCTGACATTTGTATATAATTTTAGGAGTCTGCACGTCTGTACTTGGATGCCACTGCTACGGTATGGAGCATTCTTGCATTTCTGGGTAGCTGACGTCAGCTGTTTAAGCTCTCCAAGGTACAGGGTAACTGGAGTCAAATTCTCTAGGAAAATTACATTTTAGAAATCAAGAATTATTACTAAAGAGGAGCAAATCAGGAATAAAAAGGTTAAATTTTAGCCCCTGCTGTCCCACTAATTGGCGCCCTGGAGCAAGTGCTTTCTTTTCTCCTCTTTTCTTCCTTCCTTTCTTTTTCTAAGCATTCACTGCTCTGGGGGCTGAATAATATTTGGGGAACAGTGACTATGAAGAGATGTGGTACCTGCTTTCACGGAGCTCATATTGAAGCAGCTTCAACAGAAACAAGCAAACCAACACATACCTAACAGGATTCACACTGTGCTAAGTCCCACAAAAGGAAAAACCACAAACAGGTCTTCAAATGAGAGACAGAAGGAGCCTCCTTTGCTCAGAGTGGTGGTCATGGAAACCCTCTCTGAAGAGGTGGTCTTCAAGCTGGATCCTACAGGATGAGACCGATTTAGCCACTCAGATAGTCCAGGCAGAGAGGCCGAAATGGCAAAGGTCCTGTTTGGGGAAGGCAGTCAAGAGTAACTGGGGGACCTCCCCCACCACCCCGCGGGGACACCGCAAGTCGGGAGGAGCGGCACAGGTAGAGCTGTGGAGAGGGGCAGAGTGCAGACCATGCAGAAACTTGCAGGCTGCGACTGGAAGGAAAAAGCAACAAAAGTGCTTAAGCCAGAAGCGATGCATTTCATGCTTTACGACGACCAGTCTTGCAGTTGTGTGGAGGATGGAATGGGCCAGATAAATGAGAGTGGAGGGAGAGATAGTAGTTGGAAGACTAATGCGGTAACTAGATTAGACGGGATGGTGTCGGGGGGGGGGGTAGGATGGCAGCAGTGGAGGCAGAGAGAAGGCAACTGAAGACACCTTCGAGATGAATTCAAAGGACAGGTTTATGGTTGCTTATGGGTCGTAAGAAAAGGGATAAATCGTGGCCGACTCCTATGCTTTTGGCTTGAGCACCTAGGTAGATGGTGATGTGGTTTACAGAGAGGGAGAAGAAGGAAGGCTGGCGAGACAAAAGGAAGTTCCATTTCAAGCACACTAAGTTGGAGGCATCTGTGTGGCGACCAAAAGGAATGGTTGGCTCGTCAAGTATGGTGTGCTCAGAGGAGAGATTTGGGCCACAGAGATACAAACCGAAGGGCCATCAGCACAAAGACTGCATTTGCTTCCATGAGAAGGAAAGACAGTTCTTGGGGGAAAGAATAGTGAACAAAGAGAGGGCAGCTCTGGATTAAAGCTGGACAGAAAGCAAGGAATCAAGAAAGGCAAAGTGACTTAGGAGGTAGCAAGAGACTGCCAGACAAACCGATTTCGGAGAGGGACAAACTGATGGTGACCACTGCTGTGGGTGGTGTTAAGAGACGTTTCCTTGGGTTCTGGAAACTTAGAAGGTGCTGGTGCCTTACCGAGGGTGGTTTCAGTGGAGCGGCAGAAAAAGAAGGCAGACTGGCACACTCTGAAGAGTTAATGGAGACTTTTGTCTAGTTGCCCTAAACACCTCTCTGACGGATGAAAACATTTAAAAAAAAAACTTTAAACGCACATAGCTGAGTTGGCACAAAGTGCTCAGAGGCTGAACACAAAGAGAGAGCAGAAATCGTGTGAGGTAAGCAGACTCTGAGGCTAGCCTTCACCGTGCAGGCATCTGTGGAACCCTGGTGACCTCCTGCCTCCATTTTCACAGCCCTACGGTGCCTGAGAAACAGGACCCAAAGCCAAGGTGGGGGCTGGGAGACTAAGAGGAGGTAGTCACATAAAACTGGAGCTCAAAGGGCTACAGCCTCAGGGTAAGGTGAGCTGAAAGAACTTACCTGGAGAAAGGGAGAGCAACAGGGAAGCCTGCCTACGAGCACTCTGGTACTGGATGCAGGGGAGAAAAAAAATTCTCTAAGAATCTGTGGCCACTCAACTGCCCTCACACGGCTTCACTTCTCAAATGCACGCTGATTTCACGGTCTGAAATACCGTAAGCTGAGAATTTATTCTAGAGTGGCCCCAGACTGTAGTGGTTCCAGGCACCTGGAAGAAGTAAGTAAATCCTCCTGGGAGGAAGGAACTTTCCCTCACTCCAGGCCTCAAACCATCCTCCCAGATTAAATTCCAAGAAACAGGACTTCACAGAAAAACAAACACAAACAAGTGTATTTTTTTTTCTGTGTATATACATACAGATACAAAACAAGTTAAAGTTAGCCAGAGCCAGCTGAATCAGACTTGTAGATATCAGACACAAGACAAACACACACGAGAACGAAAATACGTGTTTAGAACATGAGATGGTAAAAAATGACAAAACAAATGAGAACCAAATAGAATTTACATAAGTGAAGGAAAGTAACGAAATTGAAGACTTTTAATGAACAGGTTAAACAGTGTAACTGACACAAGCATAAACAAAATTAGTGAACTAGAGCAGAGCTGAAAAAAATGATCACACCCTGTCAGAGCACAAGGACACAGAAAGATGGGAAACAGCAGAGGTTAAGGGACATGGAGGACAGGAGGGACGGCTTAACATGTATCCAATTGAAGTTCTGAAGGAGAGACTGATTAATGGAGGAGAGGCATTATTTAAGAAGATAGTGGCTGAGAATTTTCCAAAACTGATACAAGGTATTAATCCTTAGATGCAGACGCCCGATGTTTCTGATGCAAAATAATATGAATACCACAGTCAGTCACAGGAGAGTCAAACTGCCAAACATCAAAGCGAAACAGGAGATCTCCAAAAGCAGCCATGGGGGGAGAGGTGGATTTCTTACAGAGGAACAACAGTCAGATCAAACAGCAACTTGTCAACAGCAATAATCAAAGCCAGGAGACACTGACAGGGTATCTCTGATATTCTGAAAGTGTAACAGTCAATCTAGAATTTAAAACCCAGGGAAAACATTCTTTAAGGCGTGGGGATTAATGTTAAGTTCAGGCCATCAAAAACAAAGACGTAATCACCAATGGACACTTACTAAAGGACATATTAGTAGGCAGGCAGAAGAAAAATTATCCCAGTGGAAGAGATAGAGAAGGAATAGTACACAAAGAGAGAACGCCTAAACGTGGCCAAGTCAAAACACCGTATCAAATAACAATGCTGACACCTAGTTGAGCATAAAGCAAGGCGGGAAAGGACTAGGATGCTGCATGCTAGAGGGACTCTCGGAGACTAAGTCAATCAGGTGGGAAGCGAGCACACGAAACATTCCAAGGTCTAGGTACTGCTCAGAGGAACACAAAGATATTAATGAAATTTTGGTTTTGTTTCATTAAGTTAAAGTTTTGGATAACCAGTAAAATAACTGGGAAAGGAGAATGTGGAATCTTCTCTGGTAAGGGTATGGAGGAGACGGAGAACCATGCTGAAGCTAGACAGGGATGTGGGATCAAAGGCAGAATTTTTAAAGACAGGAAATACTATGGCGCACCAGGGTGGCTCAGTTGGTTAATCACCCAACTATTGATTTTGGCTCAGATCATGATCCCAGGGTCCTGAGATCGAGCCCTGCGTCAGGCTCTGTGCTGAGCGTGGAGCCTGCTTGGGATTCTCTCTTTCTCTCTCTCTGCCCCTCCCCTTCCCCTGCATGCATGCACGCTCTCTCGCGCGCTCTCTCTCTCTCTCTCTCACACACACACACACACACACACACACACACACAGAGTCTGCATTTCTCAACTTAAAAAAAAAAAAAGATGGAAAATACTAGAGCACATTGTATACAACGGGAGTGATCCAACAGAGAGGAAAAGACTGAGGATGCCAAACAAAGGATAGAAAACCTAGGAGGAAAATGCCTCAGAAGGCAAGAGGAAAGGGGATGAGCAAGGGCCTCTGCAGGAGAGAAACTCCTTTGCAATAACGGGAGGATATGAACAGACTGGACCTTTCTGGGCCCCAGATGTCACGCATGTTAAGCCGAGGGGAAGAGAATGACCTTCTGCTGGGCACTTGCCACAGGGGAGCCCCGTGCTTAGTGTTTTGTATACACTTGCCCTTTAATCTTCACAACAAAACTGAGGATCAGATTTTCATACTTTGGGAAGTAAGACTGCACGTAGCTAAAGAATGCAGACTAGAAGGCTAGATTACATGGGTTCTTCCCATGACTACTAGGTTTACAGACTTGGACAAGGACTCAACCTCTATGTGCCTCAGCTTCTCATCCATGAAATGGGGTTAAAAGTAGTACCTAACTCACAGAGTTTTTGTGGGGGTCAAATGCTGCAGTGTCTCCTCACTGCCCTCTGTGCTCGGCTGTCACCTCCTCCTCCCCTCTGGGGACTGCCTGGCTCTGTGAGACGGGACCACTCCCTCGTGCAGGCCATATTATTACAAGTGCACCTACTGCCTATGGTCCTGTAATATGTTGTTTTCCCATCTCCTCCACTATGCTGTAAGCTAGGAACCACGCCTTAGCACTCTTTATAAGACGGCTGAGCTAAACCTCTGCTTCCACTAAAGCAACGGACAAGTTTTCTATCTACTAAATTTACTGCTTTCCACTGTTTCTCGAAAGCCAGAGTTCAGTCAACAGACTGTTTAAATTATGTACTCTTTGTGGGTATAATGTCACTGGCACATTGTAGACCTTTAAATATAAAATGAAGATATTGGTTCTTGGCTTGAAAGAAAACAAAAGCTTTAATGCTTATGGAGCTTAAAAGAAAATGATGCATGAAACTAACTTCTAGATTATTTTTTCTAGGCTTAATTAGTCATTTCAAACAATTTCAAATGCTCTGGATTCTCAAACATCTATAATGATTTCAAATGCTCTAGCCTCTCAAACATCTATAAGAAACTGGGACACCCATTAAACTGGGGTTCTGACAATTCAATAAATAGGGCATTGATGTCATGCGGTCATTCCACATTTCACTAAACATCATTTCGAATCTATAAAATTCTTTATGATGTTAGTTAACAGCTATGGAAAAATATGCAATATCTGAAAAAAAGTTAAGCAATTTTATGAGCCATATGGAATAACTGTCATTTTTCACAGACTGTTTTAATCTTTCCACGTAAATTTTTATAGCACAGAAAAACTTTTTCAATATATTTCTCTATAAAATGACAAAACTAGACTATATTTACCTTTTGGAAAGTAGACACAGGTGAAACAGCAAACATATTTCCCTCCCCAAACACTTCTGTCCAATTCCTTTGAGATGTTTTCATTCTGTTTTTAAAATGGTACTCATTATCGGGATTGAAAGCCTAGATTCAAAGAGGACAGAGAAGCATTATTATTACCTATTTCTATAGCAACAATATTAGCAGGAGAAAAGAAGAAAAATATAGCCTTGGACTCCTCCATTAGCGGAATCTTTCAAATATCCCCACAGCACATACTCCTTAGCCGGTGCAGAGGAGTGAATGCCTGAAGCAGGGCTCTCCTATCCGGTTCAGGGCTCGCTGGGAGGGAGACCAGGATTCGGGCCAGGTGAGGCCGGTGCACCAGGGGCCCTGGAGCTGCCACAGGGACAGGTGGGCCACAGGGCAGTAAAGTCCCCTTCTTCACACAGCTACTGTGACCAGTCAGGGAAAAAGGCCAGAAACCAAACCGCAAGAACACCCCATGTGAAAGCATTTATGTGAATAATCAGGAAGACATGAGGGAAAGCTATTTAATCATTCTAAGAGCTGAAAAAGCTATTAAAATTAGAAAGGTATTTCGTTAAAACTGAAAACACAGAATGAATGGCTGCTCTGTGTTTAAAATAAAAAGCAAGGTCCCTAACAGCTAAATTAAGATCTTTAACTATATTAGTTACCACTCATCATTAATTACAAGTCAGAGGACAGACAGAAGGTATTTTAAATAAAAGCAAAACACAAAGTGCTTCATTTTAGAGATACTGTACCATCGTAAGCACACCCAGGAGACCTGTGGGAATCGGATCTTGTTTAATTCTCTCTGCAACCAGTTCTATTAATAGCATCAACATGTTGTAGATTCCTTCATGAATTTCAGTACCCCACTTGTGAACAGCACTTGATGTCAGGAGCTACAAAAACAAAGGGCACTTTATGGAGTCTAACTTGAAAAGAAAAAGTCTATTGTTTATCAGTTCAATCTTGAATAATCAAGAGATTATTACCATAATATTACTCTTATGCAAATGTCTTGCTTTAAGGAAAGCCTGTAGCCCGTCTGCTCATTCCTTTATTTCAGAGTCAACACTGAGTTTTGTTTTTGCATGTTAATTCCCTTACATTGAAGCAGTTTGTTTAAAAGAAAATTTGCATTTGTTTCTCTACTTTTCATCATTACTGGGGGGAGGTCAAGTGGTGTAGAGCAAGTGAGAACATGAGACCAAATCCTGGAGCTACCACTGTTTTCTAGCTGTCTGATCTTGGACAAATTTACCTGAGTTCCCGGGGCTCGGTTTCTTTCATGCAAAGAGGCAAATTCTTACCCACTTCACACAGATGTGCTCAATATCAAAAGATAAAACAAATGTGAAAAAGTATTTTATACATAGTGCAGTACTGTTATTAAATATATCGTGGCCACCAATACTGATATTCTTGGAATCTAAGAAATGGATGCTATATTTCATGATTTGAACACACACATTCTTGTCAGATTTTTTATATGTCAGAACTGCATCTTCCCACCTGTTGACCAGATGGCAACAGGACTATGAATGTGGAAACAATTTTAGAAATATTTTACAGATTTTGCTTATGTTTTCCTTTCTGATATGTATAAAAGTAATATTCAGTTTTTAAAATTGTTTAAGCCAATCTAAAATAGCTCTAAGTGATAGGCACCGTAACGCTATTTACTTTGCCACTGCTTCTCTTAAATACAAAACATAAAATACACAACAATCGTGCATGTTACACTCAGACAGCATCTCAGATTCATTAACAAGGCGGGAAAAGGTGCACAGATAAAACTCAAATAACCATCAGTGGATTTCTCCACGCCTCAGGCTTCTAGTCCTTGGGGAAATCTAATGCAGGAATAACTTGCCAGAATGGGGAATGAGAAATCAAAGGGTTTCACTTATTAAAATAATGGCAAATTGGTATGCTGGTTTCATGTTTTCCTAAGATTTCCCTTTAGAGGGAAAATACTATGCAATAAAAATTCCATCTTCGTCACACTGAGAATCCCTTAACAAGAGCAGCCTGAAAGAGCCCAAACTTCTCTAGCTGCAGAGAAAAACCTCAGTTCCAGATTTTCTAAATACCAATTAATTGCACGATTTGCTCCAATGAGCAATAATCATAACACCGACTTTATATAAACCAATGAGTTACTACTTTTTTTGCAAGAATTTTTTGCCTGCCTGTATATTCCTCCTATACCTAAATTATAAAGCAAGATGAAGCAGAGATAAGCACTCAAGAAGCTTCATAGGACTATAAAATAAAATTCAGCACCACTCCTTCTGTTGCCATCTCACTGTTCAGTTTTTAATCTGAAAAGGGAATTCAACCTACCTTGCAGAAGAGGGGAAAGACAGGCAGCCCTTTGTGGGGAAGCTGTGCTCAAGGTTTAAACGCAACTATGCGCTATGGCCAGACCTAGATTTCCTTCCCTGCTTGAACACATGGTAAAGAATCCAGGCTGGCCTGAAGGTAACAGGTGAAGAAGGCAGACACGACAACAGAGTCCCTTTTGTGCGCCTCATTCATACAATTGCTTATTACTCATACCTTCCTTCTAATAAAACATTTGAGGTGGCTTGTAAGAAAAGCCAAGGGAAGAGGGTAGAGAAATAGTCATCATACCCGGAAACACAGCTAAGGAAAGCAATGGCAATTATATAAAATACCACTGAGTTTTCTCGTAGCCAAATCAAAGGCACACAGAGTCCTTAGCTCTTCTGATTTAAAAAAAAAAGGGGGGGGTGGTGCCTGGGTGGCTCAGTCGGTTGGGTGTCTGACTTCAGCTCAGGTCATGATCTCAGGGTCTGTGAGTTAGAGC